GGTGTCCAACGCTGTCTTGTGTGCGCTCGGCTCCTCTTGCATGGTTCTTCAGGTGCCTCGGGTTCACGTGGGCGTTCGTCTTTTCCAAGCCCTTCTTCCTCGCCCCCAACACTTGCGTCGTCCGCGTCTAAATGGCCCCGGGATTTCAGCGGGGGAGGTCCCCTGGTCGCCGGCTTCCTCCTTTCGACCAAACATGATGCCTTCGGCCGAGAGTCGGCAGGGTTGCTGGTAACCTCGACCCTCTTCCTCGACCTCTTGCTAAAAGGGTATGCCTGATTCTTGGGCTGATTGGAGTGTCCACGTGCTTCGGGTAGTCCCCGAGTCCCGCCAGACGCCCCGCCGACTTTCGACGAGAGTTCCAAGGCGATGCCGTAGTAAATGCGCCCTCCATCTCCGAGCAGCACTGTCTTGGCATTTACTTTTTGAAACAGCATCCACCACGTAGTCAATGAGGGCCCCTTCCCGTCTGTGTAGGTGTAGTCCGCGTTGTTAGGAACTAGAACATGCCCTCGAACCAAATTGAGCCATCCAGACTTGCCCGAGGTCGAGGGTGATACAGTCCAGCCCAGTCCGCGACGGTAATACAGTGGGTCGATGTAGCAGATGCCAAGGCCGTCGTGTGCGTGGGCATACCTGCGTTCGCTCCAGTGACACCCAGCCCCGTGTGCAGATATCCCCCGATGATCGTGAGGCGGGGGCCCTTGTGGACATGCGTGGCCGTGAGGTCCCTGAAACGAGCGCCTATGTCGCTCTGGGCCTCGGCGGGTCCCTGATCCCCCATCTTGCCAGGTGAGGGGTCCGCGTCGTGTGCCGGGTGCCCCAGTGGCCAGGGCGCCCGCTTCGTAGCGATGCCCGTGGCAGCTCCTCCCAGCCTCGGAAATGGACTGCGAGACTACGCCGCCTGCCGGGCGTGCCACGGTAGCCCGGCCCATCATATCGATGTCCGCCAGAACATCATTGCAATTATCAAACGCCACTTGCGTTTCCTGAGTGGTCGCTGCGCCCGCCTCGTTTTCCAGCGTTCTCTTTGCCGAGAGACTCCGCCGTGACGCATTCCTGCCGTTAATCTTGAAGGGCCCCCCTGCTTCGCTTGCGCCGCCGCCGCCGGGGATCACCCTATCCCCGACCTGAGGTCTGGGCCCGCGGCGGAGGCCCCCAGCCCCGCGGCTCCCAATTGGCGCGCGGAGAAACTTTCGCCTTGAGCCCATGGGTCCGCGAGACGTGCCCCCGGCTCCGTGCCCTCCACTTGGCGCGTGGAGAAAAGGCCAGCGCGCCCCCGTGGGCCCGCCTGGGCAGCCCTCGACCCCGCCCCCGCTGCCTCCGACGTCCGTGCACCTGGGCTTCCGTCCCATGATGCATCGAAGACGCCGAGCTTCGCGCGTGGCTTCCAACGTGCATGAGCGAACTTTTCGGATGAGGCTTCAGCTCTCTTCCTGGCCGGCGCCGCCGATGCCGCGAAACCTGTGGAACTGCCGCCTCCCGAGCCTGTCGGGGGAGAAGACTGGGCAGCTCTGGCGCCGTCGCCTGGAGGACCTGCGCTTGGGCTGTCAGCTTCTTTCTGTGCTGGATCTCACTTGCGCTTCTCAGCCCGCTGCCATTCGCCCGATGCGCCCATCTTGGCCCGCTGTTGACCCACCGACGCATTGGCCATGACGCTCGGTCAGGACAGAAGGGAGCTGAATCTAAAACTCCGTCTTGCGTCTCTCGAACTCCTCCTTGTCCGCATCCTCCAATCCGACGCCCTCGAAAGAACCCACTGAAAGAAGTGTTGAAATCTGCTTTTCTGTCAAAAGAACTCGCGAACGTCCGGCTTTCCGGCTTCAGGTTGCATGCCCCCCAAGTGCAAACTCCTCTGCCGCCGTCTCCTGCAGCGCAAAACTGCCTCAGCCAAGTCCGCGGCCCCATAATCATACTTGGCCGCGGCTGCCTCGAACTCCAGCGTGAGGCGAGCCACAATAGCGAAGGGCCTTGTGGGCCTGCTCGACCTTCTCGGTCGCCTTCGTAAGCCGTGGAGAAACCGGGTTCGGTGCCGTGGCAGGGGTAGGTGGGCCCAGTTCTGCTGCCGCCGTCTTCGCATGCCCAGCAAATGGCCTCCCCCTAGCCGCCAGCACAGACAACACTTCCAATCCATCATCCTTCGCATCGTGACTCCCGTAGCCATTCGAAACACTCTCGCCGTATCATTCCCACTTTGGGCTGGGCTCATCGTAATTGGGTCATCCCGTGAAGGCGCTCCCACAAAACTCACACGTGCAGTCGCAATGCTCCCATAAGTCCTTGTGGATATTCCCGCATACCTTGCACCGCGTAGCTTGTCGTCCTGGAACAGGTTGGGCAAGTGGAAGAACGAACTGTGGCTGAGCCCGAGCTGGGGGACGAACAGCTGGCCACGTGGGTTTTTTAAGTCTGCGTGCTCCCAGTGACGGCCACTGTCCATCATCCTTCTGCCTCTGCTCAGGATGCTGCAGATGCCATGTAGTCGCTGTTCGCCAATTGAACCACGCTGTCGCGCCCATGAGCTGGCGTCCTCTTCTCCCCATGGGTGGTGCAATCCACATTGCGGGGGCCACCATACAAACGGATACTGGCATTCTGTGGTGATCAGGAGCCTGAAGAAAAACCTGAACCACCTGCTGCGGATTAGCGGCTTCCTTACAACGCGTTAGGGTTGGGCAGGCTCCAGGCCGATCATCTTGAGCCCAAGCGGCTACGGAGAACAAAACGGAGGAGAAGAAGGATGAGGAGCAGGAGGAGCAGGAGGAGGAGGAGGAGGAGGAAGAGGAGGAACATGACAAGGATGAGGTGCGAAGGAAGAATTGCATGCATACATAACTGTATAGGTATTCATACTCCATATATAGATACATACATACATAGCGGAAGAGAAAGAGACAGAGAGAGAGAGAGACAGAGAGAAAGAGAGATACTGATACAACTATAGAGGCAGAGGGGGAGAGAGAGAGAGAGAGAGAGAAGAGAAATTGAGAAGGAACACCATATAAAGTAATACGCGTAGACAGAGAAATATAGAGAACGCCATAGAGATATTTATACAGAAAGAGAGAGAGAGAGAGAGAGAGAGAGAGAGAGAGAGAGAGAGAGAGAGAGAGAGAGAGAGAAAAAAAAACAAGAGAGAGAGAGAGAGAGAGAGAGAGAGAGAGAAAAAAAAAGAGAGGGAGAGAGAGAGAGAGAGAAAGAGAGAACAAGAGAGGGAGAGAAAGAGAGAGAGAGAGAGAGAGAGAGAGAGAGAGAGAAAGAGAGAGAAACTGCGCCACCAACCTGCACACGAATGCGGAATTACTTGCAACAGAAACGCTTGCCAATTATCCGACGCAGTCACCAAGCCGGCAGGGAGCTAGACACGGGGACGGCAGCAAAGAATGGAACGCCAGGAGGGCGGCTAAGAAGTACATGAACCGATACAGGTGGGAAGACTGGCGAAGGACAGGGAGGAGGAGGAGAAGGAGGAGGACGAGGAGAAAGAGGACGAGGAGAAATATTTTCGGATTTCGAATCCTGGTGGCCGAATCCCGGGTAGGGTACATAACGAACCTTTCATTGACGAAGTTACCCAGTGTCGTTATGTAATGAACCACTTCTCCTCCTCCTCCTTCTTCTCCTCATTTTTCTCATCCTCCTTCTCCCCCTCTCCCTCTTCCTCCTCACCCCCCTCCTCCTCCTCCTCCTGCTCCTCCCCCTCTCCTCTTTCTCACCCCCCTCTTCCTCCTTCTCCCACTCCCCCCCCCTCCTCCATACCCTCACCGTCGCCATCACCACCACTACCCTCATTACCATCGCTGTCGTCAGTCGCATCAGTATCGTGACTGTCATCTGTCATGACCGCAAGGATCATCCTCCTCCTCCTCCTCCTCCCCTTCATCATCATCTCAATCACCATCACCATCACCATCCTCATCCCCATCCTCATCCTCTTCCCCATCCTCCTCCTAATCCTCGTATTCATCCTCATCCTCATCCTCATCCTCATCCTCATCATCGCGATCACCATCCTCTGTGTCATCATTATCATCATTACGGTCATCGTCATGGTCATCATCATCATGACCATCATCACCATCATCACCACCATCACCATGTGCAGCACCACCATAACCATCATCACTACCACCACCAGCGCCAGCACTATAATCATCATCGCCATCACCATCTGCACCATCATCTGCACCTTCATCGTCATCAACATCGTCAACGTCATCATCACCATCACCACCATTACCACCGCCACCACCACCACCATCATCATCATCACAATCCATCACCATCATCGTCACCATCACCATCACCATCACCATCACCACCATCGCCATCTCCATCATCATCACAGCAACCACCATCATCATCATCATCATCATCATCATCATTGTCATCACCATCACCATCACCATCATCACCATGAACATCATCGTCATCATCTCCTTCGTCATCTTCATCTTCGTCACCTGCATCTACATCTACATCTTAATGTGCATATTCATCATCATCACCATCATCATCACCATCATCATCATCATCATCATCATCATCATCATCATCATCATCATCATCATCATCATCATCTTCATCTTTCTCTTTGTCAACATCATCATCACACCTTCCCTTCCCCCTCCTCCGTCCTTCCCCCGGAATACCACCCTCATCTATGAATCCCCCGCTCCTCCCTCCTCCGCCTCCACCTCGTCGTCCTCCTCGTCCTCCTCCTTCTGCTCCTCCTCCTCCTCCTCCTTCTCCTCATTCGCCCTCCCCTCCTCCTCCTCCACCTCCTCTTCCTCCTCCTCCTCCTCCTCCTCCTCCTCCTCCTCCTCCTCCCCCTCCTCCCTCTTCCGAGGGGGGCCTTCAGAGGCCCCTGAAAGGGCAATACGTGGACAAACCTCGATCCTCGATGCTTCGTCTCCCTTCCTCCTCCTCCTCCTCTGCCTCTTCCTCCCATCCCCCTCCCCTTTCCCACCCTTCGTTGATGAACGAAGCGAGGCCGTAGTGTCCTGGCTGCAGCAGCACACCACTGGATCGACTTGTCGCTGATGTGCCCCATGAGGCGCTCCGCGCCGGTGTTCACATAGCAGCCTTCAAGGATGACGCCCGTACCCACCAGGTCCCCGCCCTCCTCTCCTCCTCTCCTCCTCCCCCTCTTTCCTCCTCCTCCTCCTCCTCCTCCTCCTCCTCCTCCTCCTCCTCCTCCTCCTCCTCCTCCTCCTCCTCCTCCTCCTCCTCCCCCACTCCTTCTCCTTGTGAATAAGTCCTCCTTGTCGCGCCCCGAGGCTGGTCGACAGTGCGGGCTGGGCGTTTCGCCTTAGACGTCCTTACCACTTATGACCTTGAAGCTTGAGCATTGACAGCAATTTCACAGATAGAGGGCGGCCCGCTTCCCAAATGTGGCTCTGGCCTTAGCGCCGCGCACATTCGGCAGTCAAACATCGCAAGAGCTTGACGAATTGAGGGGAGGGCGCTTCCCAAATGCGGCTCTCGCCTTAGCGCTGCGCGCGTTCGTTAGACAAAACTCGCACGAGCTTGACGGATCGAGGGCGGGCCGTTTTCAACATGTGGCTCTCGCCTTAGCGCCGCGCATATTACTTTTAACAAGTTGCAGAAGTTTTACGGTTCGATGGCGGGTGGTTTTCGAAATGTGACTACCGCCTTAACGCCGCGCATTTGGTTTAAAACGTTGCCGAGGTCTCACAGGTTGAGGGCGGTTCTTTTTCAAAAGGTGACTCTCGCGCCTTAACGCCGCGCACATTCGCCTAAAACATTCGCAAGGGTGTCACTGGTTCCCGTTGTTAACGCACAGGAAGCGGTGTTTTGGAACGATTCAGGATTGTGGGCGCAACACTTACATTGATTCGCAGTGTGCAAGTCCCAGGAATGGCGCCCTGGCACGATTCAGGATGGTCACAGCGCAACAATCAAGTTGATTGGTGGCCTTGAAGTCCCGAAAACAATGTTTGGCACGCTTCAGGATTTTCAAACGATTGTCTCCCGACTGGGCACTTCCCTGTGGAAATGAATCCGTGTAGGGGCCTATGGAGAAGGAGCTTGGGGGAGGGTATATTCCAACTTCGCTGATGAATCAAAGTTTTACACTGGTCCTCCTCCTCCTCCTCCTCCTCCTCAAGGCGCCCCTGACAGACCTGACGAGATCATTTCTGATCCCAGAGTTTTCGCAACCCCTGATGAGATCATGGATGTGCGCGCCGACAGCTGGTCAGCTACATGGGGTGACCCTCGCATAGTTCCAAACAAGGTCGTCTCAGGCCTCACGTATGCTCTTGGCAGGGCGGATCCTGACGCGCTCGAGACTCTGTCCAGGTCGAAGCAGGACTCTGCAGTTGCAGCCGTGAATAGCAAGAAGGCCAAGGGGGTTGACAACATGGGGCCCGTGGAGGTTCAGAGACTTCCTGACCCCGCCAAAGATGAACTGCTCGACGTGCTCACGGAGATCGAGCACAGTGGTATGTGGCCCGAGCAGCTTTTCATGGTGGTTTCAGCGGTCGCCCCCAAGCCGAAAAGGGTGCGACCGAATCTTGGGCCTGTTACCTTCCCTGGCCAAGCTCTGGAGCGAGATGCGAAGTTCTGATTCTCTGCTCTGGGTTTCGAAGGCTGACGACCACTGGGATACAGCCATCCGCGGCTCGCCAGCCCTCCAGGCTGCACGGATTCGGTCTTTGATTGACAAGACCTGTGGGGAGATGCAGATGTCCACAACCACCATCCTTCTTGACTTGGAGAAATTCTACGACAACATCTCGATCGTGTTGATGTGATCGGCCGGCCTCCAGCAAGGCTTCCCTGCCATCATCTTGGCCTTGGAGCTCCAGCTGCTCTTAACCCCGCAGCACTTGAAAGACAGGCTCTGGCTCAGCAAGGCAATCCAGCCTCAACAAGAGCTTGGTCGCGGTCTCGTTGCAGAGCGGACTCCTGGCGAAGGCGTTCTTGGGGCCGATCCTGTCCAGAGCCCACGATCGCGCTGGCCTCAGCATCCTCCTCCGCACCTTCGTCAGCGATGCGGTCGTCCGCTTTGAGGGCGCGGAGAAGATCTTTGGCGACATTATGATTCAGGCTGGTAGTTCTGTGTGCTGACTTAGTCGATTCGGGGCTCACGATCAGCCCCAAGACTGTGGTCGTGGCCTCCTCTTCGAGTTTGGCGCGTCGCATCGGGATCGGCCTTCGTCGTGCTGGCGTCCCTGTGGATGCAATGCACCATGCCGTGGACCTTGGTGCAGACACTACAGCAGGAGTGAGCCGTACGAGGCTGAAGGTCCGCGAGCGGTTCATGAAGGCGAAGAGGCGTTCCCAGGCCATCAAGCGCATGCGGCGCAATGCCCGCCTGCGAGTCATCACGAAGTCTCTCTCGGCCATGGGCGCGAAGCCTCAGGGTGCGCACTCCCGCCAGACGTTCGGCGTCCCTGGTTGCGAGATGGTCCAGCTCAGGTGGCAAGCGGCGCAGTCAGCAGTTGGAGTTGGGCCAGGTAAGTGCTTGACCGCGTCACTTGCTGCGATGAGTGATCGTCGAGACCCTGCGAAGAGAATTCGCCGCGGGCAGATCTTGGCTTGGCTTAAGCTCTGGCGTGAGCGCCCCGACCTCCACCATCGGATTGCGAGGACTCGGGGGCGCATCCGACAGCGCCTACGTCTTGCTGGCTCGAGGCGCTGAAGGGTCGTGAAAGGTCCCATCGCATCCACTATCGCCACCTTGCTGGACATGCAGTGGGACCCTCGCAG